ATCTTCATCTTCATCTTCATCTTCATCTTCATCTTCATCTTCATCTTCATCTTCATCTTCATCTTCATCTTCATCTTCATCTTCATCTTCATCTTCATCTTCATCTTCATCTTCATCTTCATCTTCATCTTCATCTTCATCTTCATCTTCATCTTCATCTTCATCTTCATCTTCATCTTCATCTTCATCTTCATCTTCATCTTCATCTTCTTTATCTTTGTCTTTATCTTTATATTTATCTTTGACAACGATAAAGGGTCTATATCTATGAATTTTCCTTTGTCATTGTGTCTCCATGTCCCGGTAGCGGTAAACGCAGCTGTTCGTTTTCTGTCCACATATTGGCCATATACCGCCTTCAAGTGGTGTTAAGTATTTAATATTAATTTTAAAAATTGTGCACATTTCCAGCTTAAATAAGTAAGCGAACTTTTAATCACCATCTAATTTTCAGTTACCTCATTTCCATCCTGCGTAACATCATTTGAGATGGTTGGTGAGTGTATACCAATACAGAATTGCAGCGTTATGATGAATATAGTATTAAAAGCCAATCCAACACAAGCTGAAATAGTTTTGTTGCGAGCTAATCAATGTGGATATGACAACAAAGTTCCTTTGGTAAGTCATTGTTGAAAACTTTTCTTAAGTGGAAACTTGATTAACTAATCAAAATAACTATTAGATATGTTGCCCAAAGCTGGAAGTACCACTAGCGCACGCAGACACAACCACAACCAAAATTGAAATTGGAACAGAAAATGGACCTGGAATTGAAGGTAATAAAAATACTTCAAATTCAAGTTAAGTTTTGTAACGAAATTTACTTTCAGTCCCCGGCAATGAAACATGCGTGACTCCAAATGGCGCACTTGGTGACTGTATAGCTTTGGAAAACTGCAATTCTTTATTGAAACTTCATCAAAAAGAAAGCCTAACCCAAGAAGAGTTACAATATTTAGTAGAATGCGAATGTGAGAGCCCAAATTCAGAGGAAGTGAGAGTAAGTACTGCTTACTCGAAGAGTTGTTTCTTACTTGTTTGGTATTTTGTGTGTAGTGAAAAGGTATGCATAAACTAAGTACAAGGAAATAGTTGGAATTCTTAAAATTTTTAGTGCCTCTAATATTTATTCAGACCACTCGATATTAAAATACTAGTTTGATTCTAACCGGAATAGCGGACCATTGATCACTTGATCGCCTGATTTGAGCAACGGGCGACGATTTCTGTAGAGCTGTAGAAATGAGGTCCATCCAGCATTTTCAATGCGCGTGCCACGCATTATAGAAAAAACGGTCCAATTGTTCGAAAACTTCACTAAGGTTTAAGGACATAAGTATGTACAGGGAGAGGTGTGGGTAAATCCTCTACTAGGCATCACCATGGGCTTGTGCGGTATCCGAGTGAACTGTTTAACTAAAGCTGTTCGTCTAACCTTACCTTGATTATGCTACCGCTTTTTGGTGTTCACGCTCAAACAGCTGCTCGATTTGCGATGTGCTAAACGATATCTAGAACAATAACATGTATGTACATTTGGAACGTAGCCAAATAATTTTTCAGGAAATCATTTTTATTTACATACATTTCAGCAATTTTTTGGTTAGGGAAACTTGTTTAGCTTCCATTCATTGAGGAGGGGGATACAAATGATACCAAATGGTGGTCAAAGAAACGTAACTGTAGTTCATTTTACCAGAGAGACATAATTTTCAGATCGAAGAACGTGGAGGAGAGTGATTCTCCTTTTCTAAAACATAGTTTTGTCTTTTTACAGCCAAATGAGTTTAATATGATTTAAAACGTGAATACGTTACCGTTTTTTTTTTTAATAATACACTTCAAAATACATACCTATTCATATTTAAGGAACATTTACCTACCTAAATTTAGGTAAAATGCCGGGTAAAAACGGGGTAAAACTTGGAAATTTTGTTTTCCATTCCTAATAGGTTATCAGGTTCTGGCAAATACCTGTCGTCGAAAGACTAATTGAACGATCTGCTAGCGAAGAGGCCTTGGCGTTATTCTGTTTGTCTCTTGGCAAAACGCATACAAAAGAATTAAAATTTAAAAATAATAAAAAATATGAGAAAATTTAATTAACAACAGAAAAATTTAATTAATAGAATAATAATTAAATAAAAATAGATTTGTTTCTTTTAAGAGAATAAAATCTAAAGATTAAAAAAAATTGCATCAAAAGAAAAAAAATAAATAAGTATATTTTTCGTTTTGAAATAATAAAATCTAAACACTAAAAGAGCAAAAACAATAACATTAAAAAAATAACAATATAAAATCAGTTTCTCAAAATTAATAAAGTGTTATTTATAAAACAATAACATAAAAAAAATTACAAAACTAAATAATATTTATTAAAAAAATTGAAAAAATAAATAAAATAAGTTTCTTAAAATTATGTGAAATTGAAAGAATTGAATATAAAAAGTAAAAGTAAATTAAATTAATTTGAAATAAATAAAATAAGTTCTTGAAAACTAAATGAAATTGAGAAAAAAATAATAACCATTTATTACATCAATAAAATCTAAGGGCCGTTTTCTCGGGGCACAGATTGCACGGTGAAAGCCGTGTTTCGTATGGGTTTCAAAAATTAAATTGAATCAAAAAAATTTGTTTCTTTTAAAAAATAATGTCTAAAAATTAAATTAGCAAAAAAATTTAGTTTGAAAAAAGAAAGAAAAAAAACTTAAAATAAGTTTTTAAAAATTAAAATGAATTTAAAAATTAAAAATTCTGCCCAAGGATTCGAACCTCAGATCTCTCGAATGACACGCCAGTGCTTTGCTCACCCGGCCATTGCGACTGTTGGATAAGAGCACAGAATAAACAGTATATATATATACTGTTTATTCTGTGATAAGAGCGAGTAAAAGGCATGCATCTCCGGAGCATTTTCAAGTACTTTCACTTTCAAAGAGCTTTTCACAGTGAAAGTTGGCAAGGGAGCTTTTTGTTTGTATGACTTTCGTGCCAGCATAAACACACAATCTTTCAAACACACGTATCTTACCTACGGTCTTTCAAAACTGGCAACTACCTTATATATTACATAGCCAGTGAACAAAATGGCGTAATTGTGTTTAAAACCAAAATTTCTTTATAGGTTTGTTGCCCCAAAACGTTAGAGATAGTGGAAGAAGAGGTGAGAACTACTACAACAGGTACCTAAATATGTTAATCTTAGCTAAGCCTTGGAAATGAGTTTAAATTTTATCTACCCTTCAACCACAAGCTACTCTGGTGGAGAGAAAATGCGAAACTCCCAATCAAGTGGCTGGTATTTGCTTATCACTCATTCAGTGCAAATCTTTAATGAAAATAATGCACAAAAATGAGTTTTTCGAGAATGATATGCAATACTTGCGTGCCAGTTTTTGTGCAGATGCAGATAGATTTCCGATGGTAAGTACTAAAGCTGAAAGGTTTCTAGTAGATATGTATTAAAAGTTTACACAATATTTACTAGGTTTGTTGTCCCGATATTTCAATGACTGAATATACATTTTTACCAATGCCTCCGTACTGCGGAAAAGTATTAGTAGAAAATAATTCCGATGATACTGCTACCACAACAACAGATATCGATGAATATCCCTGGACGGCATTTCTCGTCTACACTAATCGTAATTTTCAGATTGATATTTCAGTAATACAACAATAACAGCTGGTCATTCTCTTTTCTTTCCCGCAGCAAGAGGTCAACTCAGTTTTCCCTGTGGAGGTACGCTTATCCACGAGCATTTTGTGCTCACCGCTGCGCATTGTCTTGAAGTGGAAGCTGGTATTAGTAAGTTAACTGGCGTACGCTTGGGTGAATGGGCTACTCAAGTGAGTAAGGATTGTCAAAGTAAAAATGCCGAACACGAAATCTGCGCACCCACACAATATGATGTGGCTGTAGAAAAGTTGATTACTCATCCAGAATACAATTCGACAAATAACGACTTAGCACTGCTGCGCTTAGCTGAAGTAGTTTCATTTACTCGCTTCATTAGTCCGATATGTTTGCCTTTCGACAGTAGCCACCTTGCGTATCCTTCGGTAGACACCACTATGTACGTTGCCGGTTGGAGCGCAAAGAGCGCGAGTGAAATAAGCAGCTTTAAAATGAAGTCTTCTCTTGCGGTGCAAAATTTGACAGCATGCATGATCCAATATTCTACTACGGCTGGCGTTAATTTGACCGATCGTCACATCTGCGCAGCTGGTAAAAGTGCGGCTGACAGCATCGTAGTTGACTCGGGTGGAGCTTTGATGAATTTAGTGGAGATCGGGAAAGTTCAATCGTATTTTTTAGTTGGCGTGAACACATTGAGTTATGAATACTCACTGAGGAGAGGTTTTTCTGGTGTTTATACGCATATTGGCGCCTATCTGGATTGGATAAGAAATGAAATTAAGAACAACTAAATAAATATTCGATATATTCGAAATTGAAATAGAACTATATTATGCGAAGAAGATGTGCCTTCTGAGAAATTGGACCATTTGTGAAAATACTGCAGTGGGCAGCGCTCCTTAAAAATTTTCTGACGATGCAAATTTTTAATTAAAAAGCCACTCAGCCCCAAAAATTCCTATTTTTTATTTCTCATAGTTTTACTTTTATAAGTTAATTAATTTTTATTATTTAATTTGATGTCAGTTAATTATAACTGAATTTTTAATATGTTTATTTACCTTATGTCTTACAATTCGTTTCCTTTAATTTCGTTTTTTTTTGCTTTCAATTCCTCTCACTTGTTTTCCTTTCATTTCCTTCCACTTCACTTCATTTCATTTTACTTCATCTCGTATTTTTTATTATAACGGGATAATTCTGGCAACTCACCACAGTCTTTCCAAAGACTATCTTGAACGCAAGTCTTCGCAAGACTAATTGAAAAATCTGCTGACGAAGTGGTCTTAACGTTTTACTGTTTGGCTTTAGCAATAAGTTGTCTAAAAGTGTAATGAAATAAAATAAATTTTTTTATACCCGAGCGCACTTGTGCACAAGGGTATTATAACTTTGTT